TGGCTAATTTTTTGTATTTTAGTAGAGACGGGGTTTCACCGTGTTAGCCAGGATGGTCTCGATCTCCTGACCTCGTGATCTGCCTGCCTCAGCCTCCCAAAGTGCTGGGATTAAGGCGTGAGCCACTGCGCCCGGCCATGCCTGTTAAACAGCAGTTGGGATTAGGACATCCCAGAATCCACTGTGAGTAGAATCTCATAAGATTAAACCCAGGGTTTTCAGGAAAAAATAATCACATCGATTCTCTCATTTTATAGACAAAAATACATTGCAGAAAGAGAAGTGGCCGCCCCGAGCCACTCACCTGGATGCTCAGTTTTGCTCTTACAGCAGCAGCCGAGGAATAAACCTCTAGGCCCATGTTCTGTGTTTAAAGCAAACAAAAGCTGTTGAGGACGGTAAGGATCTTCCCAGGGGAAGGCCGTGTCTTGAGAGATGAGGTAGGACTTCTGTTCTCCTGGCAGCGGAGTTTCAGGAGGGGCTTGGAAGTTTGCGTGTTCTGGCCATGGTTGCAGGTGTCACTGTGTCTGCTGTGGCAGCTGGTAGGACCAAATGGAACATAATGCCAGTGCACAGATCGGAGGGAGATGCTCTGCCCGTTCTCCTTTCAGTCCATGTAAAATAGAGCTGTGAACATTCTTTGTTTTCAGATGAGAGCCTACAACTTCAATGAAGCCTTTGCTACTGTTCCTAATAGTAGAGTTCCGTTAGAGTCAAGTGGATTTCAAGGTGCCTGTCAGTTGGAAAGCGTCCCCCGTTGGCAGAGCAAAGAGCGTGTGTGGGCAGTGACAGTGTTGACGCAGTAGGTTGACAGGACTAGTTTTTAGGTCAGCATAGGAACTTTAATTTGTAAATAACTTTACTTAAAATACATTGATCGGTGTTGTCTTCTTTTTTTTGAGACAGTCGCACTCTGTTGCCCATGCTGGAGTGTTGTGACTTGAACAAGGCTCACTGCAGCCTCAACCTCCCTGGCTCAAATGATCCTCCCGCCTCAGCCTCCCGAGTAGTTGGGACTACAGGCACTCCCCACCACGACCGGCCTTTTTTTTTTTTTTAATGAAGATGGGGTATTGCTGTGTTGCCCAGGCTGGTCTCAAACTGCTGGACTCAAGTGATCCTCCTGCCTCCCAAAGTGCTGGGCTTACAGGTGTGAGCCACTGCACCTGGCCAATGCTTTCTTCTTTTATCGGAATATCAGAAAGATTTCCAACGATGAAAACAATATGCATCTGCAGAAATGGGTGGATTGGCCGGGCGCGGTGGCTCACGCCTGTAGTCCCAGCACTTTGGGAGGCCAAGGCAGGCAGATCACGAGGTCAGGAGATCGAGACCATCCTGCTAACATGGTGAAACCCCGTCTCTACTGAAAATACAAAAAATTAGCAAGGCATGGTGGCAGGTGCCTGTAGTCCCAGCTGCTCAGGAGGCTGAGGCAGGACAATGGCGTGAACCCGGGAGGCGGAGCTTGCAGTGAGCCGAGGTCGCGCCACTGCACTCCAGCCTGGGCGACAGACCGAGTCTCCCTCTCAAAAAAAAAATAAAAAGTGTGGATTAAACTCCAGAGTCCTCCCCTTTGGTTTAGTTTTTCCTTTGATTGGCTAAACTTATCTGTTTGTTCATGAGGGTGGTGCTGAGAAGAAGAAAGATTGATAGAAAGAAATGAACTTTCCTAAAGATACAGCACTTGAATTTTTGCCTTAAGAGGCCCGGTTAACTGTTCAAGTTTGTATCTAGTATATTTTATTTAAAAACTGATGGAGGTTTTTGCCCCTTTGTTTTCTATAAGAGGTTTCTTGGCAATTCTGCCTCATATTGAAAATTTTGGAATTTAGTCTGTCCCTTGTAAAGCTGCTTTAAATTTCCTGGGCGTTTCCATTCCAGGCATAGTTACAGCTCCAGTTCAAAGGTCACGTTGTCTTGCTGGTGGTCCTTTCAGACCTCAAGCCAGTCACAGTACAAAAAATGAGACCTGTGAAGAGGTGTGATAAAATACATTTAGATGAATGTATTTACTTTGCAGCTTTTTAAAAAAATGATTGTGTCACTTTTTATTTATTTATTTTTTAAAACAGAGACCGTCTTGCTCTGTTGCCCAGGCTGGACTGCGGTAGTACAATCATAGCTCACTGCAGCCTTGAACTCATGGACACAAGTGATCTTCCTTCCTTAACCCCCTGAGTCCCTGGGACTGCAGGTGTGTGTCACCATGTCTGGCTCACTTTCTTCTTTTGTAGAGACAGGGTCTTGCTATGTTTCCCAGGCTGGTCTCGACCTCCTGGGCTCTAGCAGTCCTTCCACCTTGACCTCCCAAAGTGCTGGGATTACAGGCATGAGCCACTGCACCCAGCCTATTTTGCAGCTTTCATAACTATACTTCATAATACTCTTTCATCAAAGAAAATAGAGGAATGAATTGTAAACTTTTGTATCCTTTTTGAAATTTAAAATTAACATGTATACAAAGTATGATATAAAGTTTTTCTTTTTTTTTTTTTTTTGAGCTAGGGACTCACTGTGTCACCCAGGCTGAAGGGCAGTGGTGCTGTCATAGCTCACGACAGCCTCGACCTCCCAGGCTCACGCGATCCTCCTGCCTCAGCCTCCCGAGTAGTTGGGACTACAGGTGTGCACCACCACGCCTGGCTGATTTTTGTGTTTTTTGTAGAAACAAGACCCCACTGTTGCTCAGGCTGGTCTCGAATTCCTGGGCTCAAGTGGTCCTCCTGCCTTGGCCTTTGAAAGTGTTGGGAGTACAGGCATAAGCCACCACATCTGGCCAGTTGTTCTTTCTTAATAGAAGAGTTGGCTCTTCCTCCTGGATCTAGGGATGGTTTGCAGGAAAACGTTGAGTATCTGTGGGTCTGGTAGCGTATCACACTGGTGTCCAGGTTCTGCACCATCCCTGCTGTTGTGGCGGAGGGCCGCGGCAGTGATGGGCCTTGTGAGTAGAGGATCCCAGAGGAGGGAGTGGCCACCTAGACATACTCCATCAGCTCGCGGCCAGGCCATCCAGGGCACGTACTCTGTCCACTGCCCCCCAGAGCAGCTCCTCAGGGACAGGTGTTCTCTGCTGGGGTGGGGTGTAGGGGAGAGAGAGTCCTCGGGACTTAAGTGACATGAAATCATGTTCAGTGTTCCTCTTTTTCCTTAGTTTTCCTGATTGCAGCTAGGACTTTGAATATATGGATTTTATGCTGATTGTCTCTTCTTCTTTTTCAGCCCCAATTAAGGAAAAGCTGTATTCTGCTTCCTTCTGTAAGCAGCATCGACTTGTGCAAGAGTTCAGTCATGCAGCCGCCACCCCAGGCGGTCCCGTCTGGTGTGGCTGGGCCACCTCCAGCCGGGAATCCTCGGAGCGTGTTCTGGGCTAGCAGCCCTTACAGGAGACGGGCCAATAATAATGCACCAGTGGCTCCGATAACTTGCCCGTTGCAGCCGGTCACGGATCCATTTGCTTTTAGTAGACAGGCGCTCCAAAGTACACCGGTAGGCAGTTCGTCCAAAAGCAGCCTGCCTGTCTTGCAAGGCCCAGCCCCGTCAGGCTTTTCTCAGCACCCCGGTTTGCTTGTGCCTCACACACATGCCAGAGATAGCGCTCAGGGACCCTGTGAGCCCCTGCCTGGACCTCTGATACAGCCCAGAGCAGATGCCAGTCCGTTTTCTGGTGTGTTGACACCTTCAGCACCTCCTGGGCCTGAGATGAACAGGAGCACAGAGGTCGGTCCCAGTTCAGAGCCTGAAGTTCAGACTCCGCCATATCTGCCTCACTACATTCCAGGAGTGGATCCTGAACCGTCTCATGGGGGCCATTCTCATGGGAACATGCCTGGGCTCGACCGACCCCTGAGCAGGCAAAACCCACATGATGGTGTGGTCACCCCAGCAGCATCCCCTTCCTTCCCCCAGCCTCGTCTGCTGATGGCGGGACAGTGGGGGCCAGTGCAGGGAGGCCCACAGCCCTCGGGGCAACATCGTTCACCCTGCCCTGAAGGACCTGTTCCCAGCGGGGTGCCCTGTGCCACCAGCGTTCCTCATTTCCCCACCCCGTCCATCCTACATCAGGGCCCTGGTCACGAGCAACACAGCCCTCTGGTGGCTCCCCCAGCAGCCTTGCCCAGTGACAGAAGAGACGAGGTGGGCCACTTGCAAACTGGAAGCCACCTGGCCAATAACTTTGATCCTGAAAATACATTCAGGCAAAATCCCAGAATTGTGAATCATTGGGCAAGCCCAGAGCTCAGGCAGAATCCAGGAGTGAAGAAGCAGCACCAGCCCGCCTCTGCTCTTGTGAACCCCCTCGCCCAAGGAGATAGCCCAGAACACCACACGCACCATCCACTGGGGGCCGGGGCCGGGGCTGGCTGTGCTCCGCTGGAAGCGGACTCGGGAGCCTCAGGAGCTCTGGCGATGTTTTTCCAAGGGGGAGAGACAGAAAATGAGGAGAATCTCCCATCTGAAAAAGCAGGCTCATCTGGTCAAGCAGACTTTGACGATTTCTGCTCCAGCCCTGGACTGGGCCATCCGCCTGCACCTGCACACATGGGGGCGGGCAGCCTCTGCCAGGCCCTTCTCCCAGGCCCCAGCAATGAGGCTGCTGGTGATGTATGGGGTGACGCAGCGGGCACAGGGCTGTCGGATGCCAGTGGCTCGCAGTATGAGAATGTTGAGAACTTAGAATTTGTTCAGAATCAAGAAGTTCTGCCAAGTGAGCCCCTCAATTTGGACCCTTCCTCCCTGAGTGACCAGTTCAGATATGGGCCCCTTCCTGGGCCAGCTGTGCCCAGGCATGGTGTTGTGTGTCACGCCGGAGCCCCTGACGCCACGCTGCACACAGTACACCCCGACAGTGCGTCATCCAGCTACAGTAGCAGAAGCCACGGAAGGCTCTCGGGCTCAGCCAGGCCCCAGGAGCTGGTTGGCACGTTCATCCAGCAAGAAGTTGGAAAACCTGAGGATGAAGCTTCAGGTAGTTTTTTTAAGCAAATCGATTCTTCTCCCGTAGGAGGCGAAACAGACGAGACCACTGTGAGCCAGAATTACCGGGGCAGCGTGTCCCAGCCCTCAACCCCAAGCCCCCCGAAACCTACAGGAATATTTCAGACAAGTGCAAATAGTTCTTTTGAACCGGTAAAATCCCACTTAGTTGGGGTGAAACCATTTGAGGCAGATCGCGCCAACGTGGTTGGTGAAGTAAGGGAGACCTGTGCCCGCCAGAAGCAGTGCAGACCAGCTGCCGCCCTGCCCGATGCTTCTCCTGGCAACCTGGAGCAGCCACCAGACAACATGGAGACCCTCTGTGCACCCCAGGTCTGTCCCCTGCCTCTTAACTCCACCACGGAAGCTGGGCACGTGCTTCCACACGCAGGGGCGCCGCCCTTGGATACTGTGTATCCGGCACCGGAGAAGAGACCTTCAGCCAGGGCCCAGGGGCCCGTGAAGTGTGAGAGCCCAGCAACGACTCTGTGGGCGCAAAGTGAGCTGCCAGATTTTGGAGGCAACGTCCTTCTGGCCCCTGCAGCCCCGGCGCTTTATGTGTCTGCGAAACCTCAGCCACCTGAAGTTGTTCAGCCTCCAGAAGAGGCGATGTCCGGGCAGCAGTCACGGAAGCCAAGCTCGGTGGCCCCTGTGCAGAGCCGAGACGGCATTGGTGCTTCGGAGAACCTTGAGAATCCTCCCAAAATGGGAGAGGAGGAGGCCCTTCAGTCCCAAGCGAGTTCTGGTTATGCAAGTTTATTATCCTCACCGCCCACTGAGTCTCTGCAGAATCCGCCAGTCTTGATTGCCCAGCCTGATCACAGCTATAATCTGGCTCAGCCCATTAACTTTCCTATGTCCTTATCGAACTCTAATGAGAAGAATCAGTCCTGGAGAGAGGCTTTGGTGGGGGATAGACCTGCAGTCGGCAGTTGGGCTCTCGGTGGTGATTCTGGGGAGAACAATTCTTTGTCTGGGATTCCAACCGGCTCTGTCCTGAGCTCGTCTCTGCCTAGCAGTGTTGCCCAGAGTAATTTTCCACAAGGTTCTGGTGCTTCCGAAATGGTTTCTAATCAGCCTGCTAATTTGCTGGTTCAACCACCATCCCAGCCAGTTCCAGAGAATTTGGTTCCGGAAAGTCAAAAGGATCGTAAGACAGGAAGTGCTCTTCCCGGATTTGCTAATAGCCCTGCTGGAAGCACAAGTGTGGTGTTAGTTCCACCTGCACACGGCACCCTGGTGCCTGATGGTAATAAGGCAAACCATTCCAGTCATCAGGAAGACACTTATGGAGTCCTAGACTTTTCCTTAAGCAGGACTTTGGAAAATCCTGTAAGCATGTACAGCCCATCCCATTCTGACAGCCTCGCTTCTCAGCAAACTGTTGCCAGTCATCCCAGACAATCTGGGCCCGGGGCACCTAACCTTGACCGTTTTTATCAGCAGGTCACGAAAGATGCCCAGGGCCAGTCTGGCCTCGAAAGAGCCCAGCAGGAGCTGGTGCCACCCCAGCAACAGGCTTCCCCACAAGTACCCAAAGCCACGTTGTCAGAGCTGTCAAATCCAGAGAGTCTGCCAGCACAGGGACAGGCCCAGAACTCAGCACAGCCACCAGCAAGTCTGGTTCCGGCTGACGCAGGTCAGCAGCTGCCGCCTCGGCCTCCTCAGTCCTCTAGCGCGTCGCTGGTGTCCACCGGCTCCGGCCAGGCATCAGTGCCGTCAGAGCAGCCATGGCCACAGCCGGTACCTGCACTTGCCCCCGGCCCACCGCCTCAGGACCTGGCCGCCTACTACTACTACCGGCCTCTGTACGATGCGTACCAGCCTCAGTACCCCTCGCCATACCCACCGGAGCCTGGCGCAGCCTCCCTCTATTACCAGGTAGAGTCGAGTCGCGTGTGTAACCCACTTTTCTCTCGTTGCTTTGACCAGTTGACTCACTCATGGTGTGTTCCCTAGTCGTATTTGTTCGCTTGGTTCCGAGGTCACCCACAGTCCCGCAGGTGTGAGAACAGTATTCCAGTAACGCTTCCTGTGGACGGGGCTCCTGACTCCAGAACTTGCTCTCCCAACCACAGGCCACCCTTAGTTCACACCACACGTTAGCATCTTGAATTGCTTATAATACCTGCTTAGGATTTGAACCAGCCTCCCCAGCTAATGTGAAAAAAGAGCCCTCCATTTCCTGTCTCCCCTGCTCCTGCTGGCTGTCTGCAGACAAGCTCTGTGTTGCACGCCTTGGGAAGCTAGGATGGCCCCTGGAAGCTTACATCAGAAGCACTGGGCATCACATAGTTCCTTAAATGCCTCCGGGTGATTAAACACATGGAGAGAAAATAGTCCGTTTTGGAGCATGAGCCGCACGCAGCAGCTGAGTGAGGCGGGGTCCCGCAGGCTCCTCTCAGCACGTGGTGGCGCGGGCAGTGGCTCAGGGACCGGCTGTGCTCATGCAGTGAGGCGGGGTCCTGCAGGCTGCTCTCAGCACGTGGTGGTGCAGGCTGTGGCTCGGGGCCTGGCTGTGCTCATGTAGAAGATTCTTCTGTGCCTTTTTACAGGGACTCCAGCTCATGAGTGACGTTTGAGTTAGGTTCCGCGTAATCCTGCAGTCGTTCGAAAAGTGTCTGTGTACACATTTGATCATTATTTGCTTTTCCTACCCTCTAACCCAGTTCAACATACACTGATTGGGTTCACCGATTCAGTGTCACTCCGGGTAGAAGGTTGTGTGATAGGGAGTTGGAAAGCCGTGGTCTTGCAGTATGTAAGGCCAGTTGGAACCAGACTTGGGGCCACACAGGAAGGCCTTGCAGTCAGAAGGGCGCCCGCCTCGAGGAACAAGCTGCCGTGGCTGGCTGGATACTGTCCCGGGGAATGGGGCTGGGCCTCCCCTTGGGCCTCGAGCATCACGGTTTGTGTGCGTATGACCAGGTGCACACCTGACCCCTCAGACCTGTGTAGGTTCCAGAAGGAGCCCAGGCACTTTTTATTTCCATACAAGGACATTCAGCTCTGCTGGGAGCCCTGGGGTGGGGCTGGTGCAGAGCGAGGGGGAAGCCGTGGCCTCACTTCGGGTCCTTTGTACGGTCCTGCTGCGAGCCACGTTCCTCCGCGGAGTGCACTCCTCCCGCCATGCCTCTTGCTGTGGTGTCTGGGTGGCCAAGGACGAGTCCGCTTTGCTGTGATTTCACATTGCCTGCCAGCCAGCGGTAGCCTCGAGGCTTTGAGGCCCCTAAGCATGAATTCTGGCGTGTGCCCAGGGCACTGCATGTCTGCAGATCCTCATGTGTCCACGTGGCCCACTTGGGGACAGATCTGTGGCCACGAAGTGGTTGGTGATGGGGCTGAAGCCTCCCGAGAATAAATCACGGTCCACTTTTAGAGGCTGCTCCTGGCTGTGGCTCTGTTCACTGGGACCCTGGTTCTCTGACTTCACGGAGGTGGCATCTGAAGCAGGACACAGGGGTTGTTCAAATCATGGCATCTCCACACTGGACTCGTCAGGAAGCAGAAACCTAACAGCCCCTTCCAGAAGTCGCCACGGGCCCCTGGGGTTATCTGCTGACATGCTGGTGCCCTGGGTCCATCCAGGGGTCTCGTGAACAGGGCCAGCGCTGTGGGTCTTAGGACGCCCCGCTGCCTGTGGGTGTGGCTGTACTTTGGAGGTCTGTGTGGTTGTGCATGAGGGAAGGGCCACACTCAGTCCTGCTGGGGAGCAGCCGTCTGCGATGTTTGCAGCTCAGGCTGGCTGTCGAACGAGCTTGCTCTTGATTGGTATCTAATCCTACCCAAATGCTTCCTCCCACAGGATGTCTACGGCCTCTACGAGACTCGATACAGGCCCTATGACAGTGCTGCGTCTGCATACGCCGAGAACTACCGCTACCCCGAGCCCGAGCGGCCCAGCTCCCGAGCCAGCCACTCCTCGGAACGGCCACCTCCCAGGTGCGGCCATGCCCACCCTGGCTGCCCCTCTGTCACACTCAGACCCATGACTGTGTTGCTTGCTATGGGGATAACAGTGGCTCGAAAAGTTCTGTATTTCTGAAGAATTATACAAACTTATCTAACGTATGTTTACATTTTCTCGGTATGGACAAATTGTAGGATGTGTTTTTCAATGAAATTTAAACACTGCCCCGGGTGGTCATTGGCTGTGCTGGTCAGTTAGCGTTTGGCCCCACCTCTGCTCGGGCCAGACCCTGCTCAGGGCTGCAAAGAAGCAACCTCTGACTTGTCCTGGAGCCCCTCTGGCCGGGGCTCGTCTGTTGGTCCGGCCATTTGCTAATGGGGTGTCCGGGCTCCCCAGAGACACGGCAGCTTTTCACAGGTCTGCAGAAGCCTGGGAGGACTGGTCACAGGGGTGACTTAATTCTTAGACCTGTCCAGCTGGCTACAGAAAGCAGGGCCTGAAAGCCTGTGTTTCCTCTTCTTTTTTTTGTCTTTTGAGGCAGGTCTCACCCTGTTGTCCAAGCTGGAGTGCAGGGGTGCTGTCTTGGCTCACTGCAGCCTTGACCTCCTGAGCCTCGGCAATCTTCCCACTTCAGCCCACCGAGGAGCTGGGACTACAGACCTGCCCCACCAAACCCAGCTAATTTTGTTCATTGTTTTTTGTAGAGACTAGGGTCTCACTATGTTGCCCAGGCTGGTCTCGAACTCCTGACCTCAAGGGATCCTCCTGCCCTGGTCTCCCAAAGTGCTGGGATTACAGGCATGAGCCACTGCGCCCGTGCAGCCTATGTTTCTCCTTGACGTTGCCTCCTCTGATTGAAGGCCAGCCATGCCTCTGTTTGCCATTACAGAAGAGGGGTTTGGAAAGACCTGTGGCACCGTGCCTTCAGCTGAGTAGGCCCTTAAGCCAGGTCAGAGTCCTCCCGGGCCCTAGAGCCGAGGAGGCCGCTGTTGATTTTCATCTCCACTCAGGAGGTGCGCAGAGCCCTGCGAGGGGTGGGCGTGGTCCTGGCCACCGCGCTAGGCTGCGCCTTCCAGGGCCTTAGCTGCACCTGCTCCTTGTCAGATCTAAGGAGAGACTGTCTCACAGGTAGAGGCTCCCAGCCAGGGGATGTTGCTTCTTAAACTTGGTAATAGAGAAAAACTAGTTATTAGTGAAGACTTTGTACCTGCACTGGTGTTTGAAAGGTTCTTCCTGCTTATTCTTAGAGGTTTTTAGGAGTTTATCTGAAGACAAAGTTTCTGTGTGTGAACCTCTGCCCACGCGGCTAGCCCTGGTGTACTCGGCTCCAGGGCACACACTGGGCCATGTGCAGCTGGATGTTGGAGGTGCTTTGTGAAGCAGGCGGCGCTGTGAGGCTTCACCTCTCCGGAGGCTGTAACTGTGAGAAAATTCCCAGGGTTTGAGCTACTGTGTGTCACCCTGTCACTTGGGAAGCAGGGTTTGAAGTTAAGATCATGTTCCGGCCGGGCGCGGTGGCTCACGCCTGTAATCCCAGCACTTTGGGAGGCCGAGGCGGGCGGATCACGAGGTCAGGAGATCGAGACCATCCTGGCTAACACGGTGAAACCCCGTCTCTACTAAAAATACAAAAAACTAGCCGGGCGAGGTGGCGGGCGCCTGTAGTCCCAGCTACTCGGGAGGCTGAGGCAGGAGAATGGCGTGACCCCGGGAGGCGGAGCTTGCGGTGAGCTGAGATCCGGTCACTGCACTCCAGCCTGGGCGACAGAGCGAGACTCCGCCTCAAAAAAAAAAAAAAAAAAAAAAAAGATCATGTTCCGATTCAAAGCCTGCCAGGTCCAGCTGAGGGTGAGCGGGCAGGTGTTTCCTAGAGGCCCTGAGAGGCGAGAGCACAGAGGAGAGACAGCCAGGGAGGTTCTCACTGTTGCGTTCTCCTTCTGCCACCCGCCCTGCCAGGCTCACCTGGGCACCGATTCTGAGAGGCCAGTGGTGGCTCATGATACAGGGAAGGACTCTCACCAGAGGTGGGGTCAGGTCACCACAGGAATGACGTCGTCACCGGACCCACAGGCTCACTCTTCCTTCCCGTGTTCGGATCCTGCGGCTGCCTTCAGCCCTGGCTTGTGCAGGCTCTGGGGAGTCCCCTCTGCTCCCTCCCCAGCTTTGGTTGGGGAGCACATGTCTTGTGCGTGTGTTCAGCCTCCACGCTTGCGCGTGGCATGGACTCACCTCTTTGGGCCTGGTGTGGTCCGATCCCCGCAGGCACTGCCGTCTCGGCCTTGTTCGTTTTTGAGACTGTCGCTCCTGGTGAGTGACTGGGGTTGGAAAGGTCGGCTGAGGAGACGGCAGCTCCTTGGAAACCCCGAGTCAGATAATTTCTCCAGAACCTGCTGTGGCCCACATGAATGTGATAGGCCCTGGAGTGGCCACTCAGGCTGTCGGTTGGCAGGGCTTGTTACTGTGGCTGAGCAGTTGGATGTAGGGGACAAGTGGGCTTGTTACTGTGGCTGAGCAGTTGGATGTAGGGGACAAGTGGGCTTGTTACTGTGGCTGAGCAGTTGGATGTAGGGGACAAGTGGGCTTGTTACCTGAGCAGTTGGATGTAGGGGACAAGCGGGCTTGTTACTGTGGCTGAGCAGTTGGATGTAGGGGACAAGTGGGCCGGGCGCGTGCCTCCCAGCAACAGCCCCGTTCGATGCAGAGGTGCTGCGCCAGCCGAGCAGCCAACCTCTGCGGTGGGTGCGGCTCCCGTGACGTCTCCCGAAGGGGCGTGGGAAGGGCCACATTCTAAAAATGAAATATTGTACGAAAATTATAAGGTGCTCTTACAGCCTTTCAAGAGTCTTTTTAGGTCTCACCCTTTTAGCCAGGCTGGTATGCAGTGGTGCCATCATAGCTCACTGCAGCCTGGAAACCTGCTGGGCTCAAGCCATCCTCCTGCCTCAGCCTCCTGAGTAGCTGGGACTGCAGGTGTGTGCCACCATGCCCGGCTAATTTTTTTATTGTTTTATGGAGACGGGGTCTCACTGTGTTTACCAGGCTGGCCTTTCAAGAATCTTGACAGTACCAGAAGGTCTGATACTTGATCATTGTACTAACTCATGCTTTTCCTGTGGTGAGAGTCAGGATCATGGCTTGGTCTACAAAACCAGCCTTTCTGGGGTACGTGTAGGATTCTGACACCACGTCAGCTCCAGGAGACCTGAGGGGGAGGTGGGGCCCTTCGAGTCCCGCTCCAGAAGCACACACAGGGGCTCCGACGGGGTACCCTGTGCGCATGCAGGGAGCACCAACAGCCAGCGGTCTGCGGTCGAGGCTGTGAAACTGGCATTTTAGGTTGGTTTGAATGGCTCAGTGAGACCAGACACCGTGCGTGGGTCACTCCTGCAATCCCAGCACTTTAGGAGGCTGAGGTGGGTGGATCGCTTGACTCCAGGTGTTCGAGACCAGCCTGGGCAACATGGTGAAACCCCATCTCTATGAAAAATATAAAAAATTAGCCGGGTGTGGTGGCGCATGCCTGTAGTCGCAGCTACTCAGAAGCTGAAGTGGGAGGATCGCTTGAGCCTGGGAGGTGGAGGTTGTATTGAGCTGAGGTCGTGTCGCTGCACTCCAGCCTATGCGACAGAGTGAGACCTGTCTCGAGAAAAAACAAAAAAAAGAAGCTCAGTCCATTTTGTCTTCTGCTGAGCATAAAAATTCTAGGACCTATTTTAGCATTGACTTTTCTAGGCTACAGCAATGAGAACACAAAAAGGGTCAGTTCTTTTTAGCCGACGGCGCTGAGTTATTTTGCCAAGATGAATTTGAATTAGCCGCGTGGTGGGAAATTCCACAGTCTCATCCTTGCCACTGTTTTGAATCTTCTAACTGGAATTTTTGTACAAGCAAAGTGCTCTGATGAATGCCTGTTGCTTTGGGAATTATTTGTATTGGCTGATGTCACACTTTAAGAAATAGGTAATTTGCTTTTTAACAGCACTGTGTGTTTTTTCAGGCAAGGGTATCCTGAAGGATACTATAGTTCCAAAAGTGGATGGAGCAGTCAGAGCGATTACTATGCAAGTTATTACTCCAGCCAGTACGATTATGGAGGTATGTCGAGGAGCTCCAAGCAGCTGGCCTTAGCAGGTGCCTTGTGCAAAAGACGTTGATGACGTGCAGCCCTGGCCAGCCAGCGCCTGCTGGTGACTTCCAGGAAATGTCCCCTTTTATTAGTCTCTTTATGTTTTTGCCCAAGAGCCAAAATAGTTGGAAATACTTTGTATTTGGAAATAATTATATTGATATGTTTCATTACAGAATTTCATCTTAATCTTAGCATGAATGCATCTTTGTCATATTGGCAGATTTCTCTGATTTTCTAGCAGAGCATAACCAGCAATTCGAGAGCTGCTGTGTCCACATGTGCCTTCGTAAACATAAACGGATGAAAAGGAAGTGAAGTGAAAAACTATCTCCTCAGTTCCACCAGCCACGTTCCCCGCACTCCTGACCGCAGGAGGCTGGCAGCTGCTGCCTGGGGCAGTGTGGATGTGGGCCACGCCCACCGGGCAGTGAGCTGGGCACTCCCTGGCGGCGGCCAGCTGCAGCCCTCCATGCAGTGTGTGCGGCACAGTGGCCATGTCCTAGGAAGAGCCTCCTCTGGTCACTCCTGCCCTGGCTGTGACCTCTCGTGCTCTGGGCCCTGAATCCCCTTGACAAATATCAAGCATCCTCTTTGATATTTGCACCTGTTTTAAATATAAATTTGAAGAAGAAAAGACATCTTTAGAAAAGATGATAAAAGACCTTTTAAGAACTTTTTCTTAATACTTGCTAAAACACTTGCTGAAAATGGTATATCCATTTTGTTTACAGCCCTTTTAAAGTAACCTTTTAATATTGAGATTTTTTTTGAAAACCTTATGAGTCACATTAAGGTGAAGAAATAGTAGTAAAATTTACAGTTAGGGGATTAACTAGTAAAAAGCAGCAACCGTGAAAGTGAACTAGCTGGGCGCAGTGGCTCACGCCTGTGATCCCAGCGCTTAGGGAGGCCAAGGTATGGGAGAAGCACTTGAGCCCAGGAGTTCAAGAACAGCCTGCAAAACATAGTAAGACCCCATCTCTGTTTAAAAAAAAGAAGAAGAAGAAAAAGGACTTACTAAAGAAATCTTGGCCGAGCGCGGTGGCTCACGCCTGTAATCCCAGCACTTTGGGAGGCCGAGGTGGGCGGATCACAAGGTCAGGAGATCGAGACCATCCTGGCTAACACAGTGAAACCCCATCTCTACTAAAAATACAAAGAAATGAGCCAGGCATGGTGGCGGGTGCCTGTAGTCCCAGCTACTCGGGAGGCTGAGGCAGGAGAATGGCATGAACCCGGGAGGTGAAGCTTGCAGTGAGCTGAGATCATGCCAGCGCACTCCTCTCTGGGCGACAGAGCGAGACTGTCTCAAAAAAAAAAAATCTTTTAGCACCTTTTCTAAAAATATTTTTTCCTTTTAATCTAAAACACTTAAGTATTGAGAGAAAAATCAGCCAGTTGCCTTTAGGTAGCTTGAGCCCTCCAGATCTCATGGCTTCCTGGTGTTGTGCTGGTTTCCAGGAGATAAGCTAGGTTTCTCGAGGAGTTCTTGGAGCATGAAGTCCTGGGGTGGTGTCACTTCTTCAGTGATATCTGAGGCATTTCTTCTTTTGATTGTTACTGTATTAATCATTAGTTCCTTGCTCACAGATCCAGGTCACTGGGATCGTTACCACTACAGTGCCAGAGTCAGGGACCCCCGCACCTACGACCGGAGGTATTGGTGTGATGCAGAGTACGACATGTACAGGAGAGAGCACTCTGCCTACGGGGACAGGTTGGTGGAGCACCCCGGGGGGAAGAGGCTGGGGGCAGCCAGGACACGCTAGTGCTTCTCTGCCCTCATGTCTGGGTTTTAATAAAGAGCTTTGGTAGTTTGGGTGAGCATCTGCCTGATGTTTTGGTTCCTGTCTGAAAGGAAGGAGGGAGCAGACCCTTCCAGGGTTCCCAGCGTGGACTGTTAGGGGAGAACTGGCCTCAGCAAGAGGACTGTTCAGCACCCCTGGGAGCACCTGGGAGACTGGGCTCACTCTTTCTCGTCATCCCTTCTTAGCGGTCGCGCCCTGCAGCCCAGAGCAGTGGCCACACTGGAGACGCATTCGCAGGACTTCTCTAAAGCTGCGCGTCAGAGGGCCCTGAGGGTCGGGTGTGGTGTGTTGTGGCTCAGCCCCAGGGGTCTCAGTCTTGGCCCCTGGGCAGCCGCGTGGCACATGGGGACGGGGCCTCCCGCACTCCCATTCCTCTGCCTCTGTCCCCCGGCTTCCTCTAGGCCCGAGAAACGTGACAACAACTGGAGGTACGACCCTCGCTTCACGGGGAGTTTTGACGACGACCCCGATCCCCACAGAGACCCTTACGGGGAAGAGGTGGACAGGCGCAGCGTCCACAGTGAGCACTCGGCACGGAGCCTGCACAGTGCACACAGCCTGGCCAGCCGCCGTAGCAGCCTCAGTTCCCACTCACACCAGGTGCGCGGCAGCACCTCACAGACACGCGGATGGTTGTGTTTAGAACCACCATCCTGTTTGCAGTGTACCTAAACTTTTACCACTGTGCCTGGAGAACTGATTTTTCCCGTTTGCTTTGTTTTTTAAGAGTCAGATTTACAGAAGCCACAATGTGGCTGCCAGTTCCTACGAGGCCCCGCTTCCTCCAGGCTCCTTTCACGGTGATTTCGCCTACGGCACCTACCGCAGCAATTTCAACAGTGGCCCCGGCTTCCCAGAGTATGGCTACCCTGCAGACACTGTCTGGCCTGCCATGGAGCAAGGTGTGTGCTTAGCAGGACAGAGGGACACTGGCTCACCCCACTGGGACGGCCACCCAGCCCGGGATCCGAACACAGGAGTCAGGGCTGGGGTTGGAATGGTGATGTCCTGGCCTGGCTCTGACCCAATCCATCCTTCCAAGTGGCAGAGCGTGTCAGGACGGGCTGACGCTGTCTCTTCGATTGCAGTTTGGCCTAAGGCCTGAGAGCTGCGCTGGCTGCCCCAACATGCGTTTTAAAGTGTGACTGTGAGGACAGCCCACATCCAGGCTCTGGGCGGCCCCTGGTCACATCCCCATCGCAGACCCCGTGGCCCAGCAGGCTTGCAGGAGGGAGCTGCTCCTTCCCCTTGGAGACTCCGCTCTGCAGGCGTCCCGTGTGTCAGAGTTCCCTTCCAGGATGCTCAAATGCTTTTTCTTGGCAAATTGCAGAAATATATGTAAAGATATAAAGTTACAGAATGGAACAGTAGACTGACTGAGTTTCCTTTTTTTTTCTTTTTTTTTTTGAGATGAAGTCTTACCCTGTCTCCCAGGCTGGAGTGCAGTGATGCGATCTCGGCTCACTGCAACTTCTGCATCACGGGTTTAAACGATTGTCCTGCCTCAGCCTCCCGAGTAGCTGGGATTACAGGTGTTTGCCACCATGCACGGCTAATTTTTGTATTTTTAGTCGAGACGGGGTTTTGCCATGTTGGCCAGGCTGGTCTCAAACTCCTGACCTCAAGTGATCCGTCCTCCGTCTTCCAAATGCTCAGATTACAGGTGTGAGTCACTGTGCCCGGCCTTACTTTCGTAAAGTATTGTTTCAGTTAACAACATTTTTTCATTTATTTATTTATTTATTTTTTTTTATTTATTTATTTTTGAGACGGAGTCTCGCTCTGTCGCCCAGGCTGGAGTGCAGTGGCCGGATCTCGGCTCACTGCAAGCTCCGCCTCCCAGGTTTACGCCATTCTCCTGCCTCAGCCTCCCGAGTAGCTGGGACTACAGGCACCTGCCACCATGCCCGGCTAGTTTTTTTGTATTTTTCAGTAGAGATGGTGTTGCACCATGTTAGCCAGGATGGTCTCGATCTCCTGACCTTGTGATCCGACCGTCTCGGCCTCCCAAAGTGCTGGGATTACAGGCTTGAGCCACTGCGCCCGGCCGATTTATTATTTTTTTTAAGAGACACTCTCGCTCTGTCACCCAGGCTGGAGTGCAGTGGCGCGGTCATGGTTGCTATCTCCTGGGGTCAGGTGGCCCTCCTGCCTTGGATCCTTTCAAAGTGCTGGGATTACAGGCCTGCGCAACTATGCCTGGCTCCTTATTTTCTTTTTTGCTTGAGGTGTTTTGCTCTCCTTTTTGTTGGGTGCTGTGTGGTCATCACAGTCTGCATCTGGTTTTGTGAAAGGGAAAGAGCTCGGGCGCGGCCAGGCCCGGGAGGAGCCCGCGCCGCCGAAGGAGCCTCAGGACGGCTCACGAGGGTGGCACAGGAGCTTCCTCAGTGTGCAAGGGAATAGTCCTCATATTTAGTGATTCCAGCATTTATCTTTTCCTGACATACACTTCAGTTCTACTTTTAAGTATGATGTTAAACAATTACCGACTTTGAGTTGGAAGTTTGTCATGATAGATCTCACCGGTGATTTCAGCTGTGTGGGCACATTGAAAGTCTAGGCTCAGAAGCAGCAAACAGTGACAAGCTGATGGTTTCTTTTTCCATTTATCTTAAATGCAGTTTCATCAAGACCAACTTCTCCTGAAAAATTTTCAGTGCCTCATGTCTGTGCCAGGTTTGGCCCTGGCGGTCAGCTTATCAAAGTGATTCCCAATCTGCCTTCAGAAGGACAGCCGGCCTTGGTGGAGGTCCACAGCATGGAGGTAATGGCACACGGTGTCACTGCTCTGCCGCCCCGGGGAACTCTGTGCTTTGCAGTTTGTCATCTTCAATTGCCAGACCTTGTCTCTGGACATACAGAGCTTGTCCTTGGAAAAATGTTTATTCCTATGAATTTTCAACGTGTAGGGTTGTTCTTCTGTTTGATCGTATCTTTGTCCTCCTAAAAGTCAGTATTGTAAGCGTCTGCCTTGGTGTTAGACGTGGTTTGATCGTATCTGCATTTCCTGTCCTCGTTTTGGGGATGTTTGCTTTATTGCTGCTTTTCAGTGATAGATGCAGCGGGTGGGCCCTGTGCTGCCCAGGTGAGGGGGAGCGGGGTGGCAGATGGGCCCGGCGCTGCCGAGGTGAGTGGGGCTGGCGTGCGCCTCTTCCTGCAGCTTCTACAGGCTTCTGTAACATGTATTGGGGTTCTGCCTCAGGATTTGGGGAGAAAAAATGGATTTCACTGCTTAAAATAAAGTTTGAAATCATGGCTCTGGCCCACACAGGCCATGTTCCATGTAATAGCCTTGACAGAACCTTCACCCGCTGTGGGGCGGGGCGGGCGGGCCAGGCCACCCTCTCCTCTCTCGTGCAGCATCTGTGCCTGGGTTGGCCGGCCTGCCAGCAGGGTGGCTGTGCACTGGCTGCCGCTGACCCACAGCCCTCTCCTCGTAGGCCTTGCTGCAGCACACGTCTGAGCAGGAGGAGATGCGGGCGTTCCCGGGACCCCTGGCCAAGTATGTTCCTTGTTGAGGCTTTTCTTTGCGAGCCCGGCCTTGCAGACATCACTGCTCACTGTGTGTTCTTTCTACAGAGACGATACCCATAAAGTGGATGTCATTAATTTTGCACAGAACAAAGCTATAAAATGTTTGCAGAATGAAAACTTAATTGACAAAGAGTCTGCAAGTCTTCTTTGGAATTTTATTGTTCTCCTATGCAGACAGAATGGGGTATGTGTCTTTTTACTTCTAGAGTGTTTCTTCCTGCTGGCCTTCATTTCGTCTTGGGCATTGCATGCTCAGCCTCCTGGCGGAGCGGGGCGAGATCCGCGTGCCCAGCTGTGGGAGTCTCGAGGACTGAATGGGGAGGGAGAGGGAACGTGCGGTTGGGATGAGATGAGGTTTCAGTCCAGCCTTGCCAGCCTTTCGGGTAGTTGTGGGTCTGGCTGTGTCCAGGGTGGGGCTTTGTGCCTGTGATGGTCTAATGCGTCCTCACCTGAGAGCCATTGTTCTCCTTCCTGTTCCTGTTGACCCGAACAGACCGTGGTAGGGACCGACATTGCGGAGCTTCTGTTACGAGACCACAGAACAGTGTGGCTTCCTGGGAAGTCGCCCAATGAAGCAAACCTGATTGATTTCACGAACGAGGCGGTGGAGCAGGTGGAAGAGGAGGAGTCTGGCGAGGCCCAGCTCTCTTTCCTCACTGGTGGTCCGATGGCTGCCGCCAGCTCTCTTGAGAGAGAGACGGAGCGGTTCAGGGAGCTGTTGCTGTATGGCCGTAAGAAGGTGCGCCTCCCCATCATGGCACCCGGCGCTTGCAGGTGTCCACTGGGTCGGGCCTGGTGCAGGCGATGCAGCTGTCGGGGAGGGACACAGCCCCTCTCGGGAGCGTCCGCGCTGCGGTGTGGGGCTTCCGGTCTTGCTGTTTCCTGAACGATGCCGGCCTCTTTTATGCCATCCTTCTGGAGGTGTTCATGTGGGTTTCCTTCTAACTATTTCCAGTGTTGGAGACCTGCAGATGGAATTTTCAGTCACTCAATAAATGCACGTGTTGAGCACGGGCCGTGTCCTTGCTGTGTGTGCCAAGTCTCAGATGAGACGTGCATGACACGAGTTTTGGCATTCTCACAAAGTCAGGCTCGGGTCCACAGCCCAGAAGTCGTTGGGAGTTGGGAGGACGCACCCAGCCTGTCAGAGGCGCAGTGCATGGAAAGGCCACGGGCAGGGGAGCAGCCAGTGCGTATAGCGTCCAGTGACTGGGGCCACAGCAGCCTGGGGACCAGGGCAGGCGGGGGACCTGAGACAGGAGCCTGCTCTGGGACAGTGGGGTTGGGGGGTCCATAGCGACTGCAGCAGGGACAGTGTGTTCACAGGAGGGCCTGTCTAGGGCGCATGATGTCCGCTTTGGATGTGCTAAGCAGGAGAGGCCAGTCTCACGGGCATGTGTGGCCCTGAACAGCAGAGACATTGGATAGGCCCAGAGCTCTCCGTCCTTTTATATCATGATAAACTCAGAAAGGGCATATTTGACCAGTACTTTTATTTATTTATTTATTTATTTATTTATTTTTATTTTATTTATTTATTTTTTTTTTGAGACGAAGTCTCGCTCTGTCGCCCAGGCTGGAGTGCAGTGGCCGGATCTCAGCTCACTGCAAGCTCCGCCTCCCGGGTTCACGCCATTCTCCTGCCTCAGCCTCCTGAGTAGCTGGGACTACAGGCGCCCGCCACCTCGCCCGGCTAGTTTTTTCTATTTTTTTTTTTAGTAGAGACTGGGTTTCACCATGTTAGCCAGGATGGTCTCGATCTCCTGACCTCGTGATCCGCCCGTCTCGGCCTCCCAAAGTGCTGGGATTACAGGCTTGAGCCACCGCGCCCGGCCTATTTTTATTTTTTGAGACAAAATCTCGCTCTTGCCCAGGCTGGAGTGCAGTGGCGTGATCACCGCTTAATGCGGCCTCGTCCTCCTGGGTTCAAGTGATCCTCCCATCTCAGCCTCCTGAGTAGCTGGGACTACAGCTGCATGCCGCCACGCCGGGTTAACTTTTTTTTTTTTTTTTTCGTAGAGACGGGGTTTCACCATGTTGCCAGGCTGGTCTCGAACTCCTGGGCTCAAGCAATCTGCCCGCCTTGGTCTCCCAAAGTGCTGGGATTACAGGCATGAGCCACCGCGCCCGGCCTGATCAGTATGAGTCTATTATGGATGTTTTATAACTGATTGAAGTCGTGTAACCTGTTAGCTTTTATTAACATCTTCCTCTACTGTAGCATTTTTGCCTCCTAACCTGAAGTCCTAAATTATACCCTAGATGATTTTGGCGAAAGGGGAGGCTGCGTTACTGGAGCCACTGTCTGTGCTGATGGATATTCGCGGAGGCCTCCTGTTAGAACCGGGGAATTGACCCGCGTGTGTTTCCCAGTGGACGGGGTGGCGTGGTGGGCAGTGCGGTGTGGTTAGCCCTATTTGTGATTAGCGTGCTTATGTTTTATGCTGAAAATGGATAAAAGCAGCAAATATCTACAAATACCCACTACCGCAGGGACTTTGAAACTCAGGAAAATAGTGAAATGCTGACGTGTCTTAATCTCCAAATGGTGAATAAGTTTTTGAGGCCTTTGGGTTGTTTGTGTATCTGCTGCTACGTGAGGACACATGGCCTGTCGCCTGTCTTGACTCATGTCACGTGAGCACTACCGATAACTCACCAAGGCCCCTGAAATGCCTTTTGCAGGATGCTTTGGAGTCTGCAATGAAGAATGGCCTGTGGGGTCACGCTCTGCTCCTTGCAAGTAAGATGGACAGCCGGACACACGCCCGAGTCATGACCAGGTACAGTCCCACGGTGGCCTGGTCCAGTGGCGAGCCCTGTTGGCTCCCTGCAGCACGCGGCGTCCACACTGGTGGCAGGTGGCAGGTGGCAGGCAGATCTCACTTGACTATGCTGTGCTCCCACACGAACTCGGGCTTCCTTGGCTTCGAGGCTTCCTTGGGTTGTGCTGTGGAGAGCTTAAAAAGTTTTTTATTAACCGCATGGTTTTTAATACTTCACATAAAATCTCAGTGAATTCCTTAGTCTTCATCTTTTTTTTTTTTTTTTTGAGACAGAGTCTTGCTCTGTTGCCCAGGCTGGAGTGCAGTGGCGTGATCTCGGCTCACTGCAAGCTCTGCCTCCCAGGTTCACGCCATTCTCCTGCCTCAGCCTCTCGAGTAGCTGGGATTACAGGCGCCCGCCACCATGCCCAACTAAGTTTTTTTGTATTTTTAGTAGAGACGGGGTTTCACCGTGTTAGCCAGGATGGTCTCGATCTCCTGACCTTGTGATCCGTCCGCCTTGGCCTCCCAAAGTGCTGGGATTATAGGTGTTAGCCATTGCACCCGGCCTAGTCTCCATCTTTTATAGCTTTTTTTTTTAATTTTGAGTTTTGCTCTGTTGCCCAGGCTGGAGTGCAGTGGTGCAGTCTCAGCTCACCGTAACCCCTGCCTCCCAGGTTCAAGTGATCCTCTCGCCTTGGCCTCCCAAGTAGTTGGGACCACAGGCATCCACCACCACACCCAGCTAATTTTTTGTATTTTTAGTAGAGATGGGGTTTTGTCATGTTGGCCAGGCTGGTCTCAAACTCCTGGCCTCAAGGGATCTGCCCACCTTGACCTTCTGAAAGTGCTGGGATTACAGGCGTGAGCCACCACACCTGGACTTATCTTTTACAGCTTTTTTTTTTTTAATATTGACATAGGGAAAGAAAAATAAAATACTGAGATATGTGTACTTTGCCTAAGTGAAATATAAGTCTAATCATTACATCAGAGGGCTGAGGTCTGGTTTTTTTTTTAAATTTATTTTATTACTATTTTATTTATTTATTTTTTTGAGATGGAGTCTTGCTCTGTCGCCCAGGCTAGAGTGCAGTGGCACGATCCCAGCTCACTGCAACCTCTGCCTCCTGGGTTCAAGCGATTCTCCTGCCTCAGCCTCCTGAGTGGCTGGGAATACAGGTGTGCGCCACCACACCCAGCTGATTTTTGTATTTTTAGTAGAGACGGGTTTCTCCATGTTAGTCTCTAACTTCTGACCTCAGGTGATCCGCCTGCTTCGGCCTCCCAAAGTGCTGGGATTACAGGCGTGAGCCACCGCGCCCGGCCGGATTTTTTCTTTTAGCTGAGCCAGCGTGGGGTCTTTCTGTGTTTATGTCTGCCCAGGTTTGCCAACAGCCTCCCAATCAACGACCCTCTGCAGACAGTCTACCAGCTCATGTCCGGGCGGATGCCCGCCGCGTCCACGGTGAGTGGCACTGCCTGGTGGCTCGCACAGGCTTCACTGCCTGTGTGGAGTTTGCTCATGGGTGACGCTGTCACAGGCCGTGAGGTGCCTCCTCGTGCTGGTGAGCCCAGCTGCGTGGAATTGAAACGGTGCTGGCTTCCAGGGATGAGGCTTCGTTTTGTTTTTCCTCATGTTAGTGCTGTGGAGACGAGAAATGGGGAGACTGGAGGCCGCACCTTGCCATGGTCTTGTCCAACTTGAACAACAATATGGATGTCGAGTCCAGGACGATGGCTACCATGGGCGACACTCTGGGTAGGTCAGGGGTGGAGATGGGCATCGGGCGTCATGGATGGAGCACCGAAGGCCCGGTTGTCTGTGGCATTGGCAGAAATCACAAGAACCCGGCCTTCTTGGTCCAGCTCGCGTCTCTAGTGCCTTCTGTGCACATGCTTGACTTCCGCGGGCATCCCCAGTCACTGAGACTCCGCCTGGTTCTCATGTCTCTCCAGCTTCGAAGGGCCTCTTAGACGCGGCCCACTTTTGCTACCTTATGGCCCAGGTCGGATTTGGTGTTTATACGAAGAAAACTACAAAGCTTGTCTTAATTGGATCAAATCACAGGTAAGGAAGCAAGTCAGTGTAGTCCTGTAAGTTTTCCTTTAAAAGTAAGACGAAATCCTTCTCCTTTAGTTAATTCAGAAATGGCCAGAATCATGTCTTGATTTGTCACATGGTGGGACACACTTCTGGATGACCTGCTCTGAGGTTGACTCTGCCAATAATTGGCCATGTTTTTTAAATAAAAATAATTCGCTTCCTCTACAGTTTGCCATTCTTAAAGTTCGCAACCAATGAAGCAATCCAGAGGACGGAAGCCTATGAGTACGCCCAGTCCCTGGGTGCCCAGACCTGCCCCCTGCCTAGTTTCCAGGTAAGCAGGTGCTGCCAGCCTGCAGCTGTCATGGGTGGGCAGGCGCTCAGTGCTAACAAGCTTTTGGCTACTTAGAGTTTTTGAATTCTTATGGAAAAAAATGATGTGAGTTTTTTCGGGGAGGATCTTGAGAAGACATTTGATCTAAAATGCTAAAAATCTAGATCACATTGAATTGAGGCTTTCCGTTTGCATTTGATTTCAATTATTTTCATGAGCTTTTTTTTTTTTTTTTTAAGGAGACAGGGTCTCACTCGTTGCCCAGGCTGGAGTGCACTCTGCTTTGATCACTCCCAGGCTTCAGCCATTCCCCTTGGCCTCCAGAGTAGCGGGGACTACAGGCAGCACCACCATGCCGTGCTAATTTTTTGTTTTTTTGTTTTTTTGAGACGGAGTCTCGCTCTGTTGCCCAGGCTGGAGTGCAGTGGCGCAGTCTCCACTTACTGCAAGCTCCGCCTCCCAGGTTCACACCATTCTCCTGCCTCAGCCTCCCATGTAGCTGGGACTACAGGTGCCCACCACCGTGCCCGGCTAATTTTTGTATTTTTAGTAGAGACGGGGTTTCACCGTGTTAGCCAGGATGGTCTCGATCTCCTGACCTCGTGATCCACCCATCTCGGCCTCCCAAAGTGCTGGGATTACAGGTGTGAGCCGCCGCGCCTGGCCGTATGAGCTGTTTTTAATATTTGAGGGAGGTATTCTCTG